TGAAATATGGCAAATGGATATCAAAACTGCGTTCCTTAATGGGATTTTGGAAGAAAATTTGTATATGACACAGCTGGAAGGTATGCAAGCTTAAGAAGTCCATTTATGGATTAAAGCGGGCAAGGAGAAGTTGGAATCTACAATTTGATCAAGCCATTAGCAAGTTTGATTTTATCAAGAATCCAGATGAGTCTTGTGTTTACAAGAAGGTTAGTGAGAGTGATATCGCATTCTTCGTCTTATATGTCGATGACATATTACTCATTGGAAACAGCATCCCAATGCTAGAGTCTGTAAAGACATGGCTTAGAAAGTGTTTTTCAATAAAAGACTTAGGAGAGGCACAGTACGTATTGGGCATCAAGATCTATCGGCATAGATCTAAGAGGATGATTGGATTGAGCCAAAGTACTTATATTGTTAAGGTACTGGCACACTTTAACATGGATGGGGACAAAAGAGGGCACCTACCCCTGTCACAAGGCATAACTCTCTGCAAGAAGCAGTGTCAACAAACACCTGATGAGCGAGAAATGATGAATCAGATTCCATATGCTTCGCTTATTGGATCGATCATATATGCCATGATATGTACTAGGCCGAATGTATCGTATGCCTTAAGTGCTACGACCCGGTACCAATCAGACCTAGGAGAGGCGCATTGGATTGCGGCCAAGAATATCCTAAAGTACCTTAAAAGGAACAAGGAAAAATTTCTAGTCTATGGTGGGAGCAATGATTTGGTTGTTGAAGGTTATACCGACGCGAGCTTCCAGACTGACAGAGACGATTCCAAATCATAGTCAGGGTACATATTTTGTCTAAATGGAGGAGCGTTTAGTTGGAAGAGTGCTAAGCAAAGCACCACTGCAGATTCTACAACTGAAGCCGAATACTTGGCAGCTTCAAAAGCAACTAAGGAGGCAGTTTGGATTTGTAAGTTCATTGGTGAAAATGATGTTGTACCCTCCATCAAGGGTTTAATAGACCCCTATTATGACAATGATGGTGCTATTTCTCAGGCTAGGGAGCCAAGGAAACATCAAAAGGTCAAACATGTCAAGAGGCGATTTCACATGATAAGGGAATAGAAGTCCGAAGGTGAAATCAGAATTTGTAAGATTGGAACGGACGACAATGTAGCTGATCCACTTACTAAACCTTTGCCTCAAGTGAAGCACAACGAGCACGTTGAGGCAATGAGAATCAGGCACGTTGGAGATTAGCTTTACTTTCCCTGTTATGTGTTTTAATTAAAATTGAGGTTTTAATGTAAAACACTATGTTGAACCATTCGGTGTTAGAGAAATTAAGCTTTCTTCAAATTTATTATTACTCCATTTCTATTTAATTGTGGTTTAGAATTAAATAATGAGTCCATTCGATTTATAAGAATACTCAAAACAGGGTATCAAGCCCATGTCTTGGATAAAGAAACACCTGTTAAGTGAACACTGAATATTTCAACCAAAAATTATCCCTAATTAAGGTCTTTAAATGATGGACAATTAATGACCAATTGAGATTAGTGTGTAGTATGATTTATAGCACCGTTTCTTGTGCTACAAGGACATGACTGTCATAAGTCGTTTGCACAGGTATTTGTTTAGAACTACACCAGATTGACCCGTGAGAATACTTTAAGAGATATAAAATCATCATAAGTATTTTTCTCATTATAGCCATCGGAACCTTTTTCCTCGACCATGAGTATTGTAAGTTAGTTTTGATGTTGTCAAACGTTTGCCGTAAATGGGGATATAACGACAACATTCGGGCGGCTGAGTTCTCTTAGTAAAGGAAGCTCACAATACAAGACTAGGAATGTCCCCCTATTAAGAATAGGGAACATGTCTTTGTTGTTTACAAGGCCTCTCGAAGAGCGAGACTCTGAAAATGCATGGTCGTGCTCAGATGGATTTTATAAATTCGAGAAACACTTCTGGACGTAATAAGGATGACGAAGAAGAATCTTACCTTATAGTTCATGAAGAGACATTAAGTGATAAAGGAAATGGGCTATACATTAAGTGAGATTGAAAGGAATGATGTCCTTCCAACAAGTGTTTTATTCCTATAGAGGGTTCAGAATTATTAGAAAGCTAATTCTTTAGTGAGGTCAAGTGATCCAAATGCCTAGGTGGAGGCCGCTTTCGATCAGTAATATTAATGTATAAATAATATTACAGCTTAATCTTGACTAAACCCTTCGATCCGCACCCCTATCGAGTAATCGATCCAAGACGACAAATCAATTTAAAGGATTAGATGGGTCATTAGAGTATTACGAACAAAGACATTGGATATAGAACTTGGAGCGTCAAAACCGAGCGTCATAAGTTGAGTCGAATTTTGAATTCGACGAGACGGGAAATCAAGCAAGCGCCATGTACGAGCTAGGCCGTAGCCTCACATTGGCTTATCCATTGGAGTGCTAGGCTAGCCTAAGCTACCAACCGCATCGCAAGACGTGCCGCAAGCCTAGCATGCTATGCGTGCGTGTGCTGTGGCTGGTCTAGCAGGCCGAGCATGCATGCAGGGCTGGTGCTCATGCTCGCAAGCAAGCTAGCAACTGGCATGCCATGCGTACTAACGTGCTAGCATGCTAGGCCTCGCACCCTACCACTCGTAGCAGCTGGGCATTTCCCAGCACATCTCGAGCATCGCAAGTAGCGTGCTATGCATGCCTGTGCTATGGCTGTGCGTGCTTGCTAGCATAGCAGCACTAGCCAAAAGCAGCAGCTAGGCCTCGCTAGCACACACAACGCAGCAGCAGCCCGCATTGCGTGCATCGCTTGCTTGTTGTGCTATTGCGTATGCAGGCTGGCCTGCTAGCCCAGTCGAGGTGCCAGGTGCCAACTAGGCAAGCTTTGCATCCAAGGCAGGCAGGCAGCCAACTGTGCATGACCAGCTCTCGGTCAATGGAGGGGACTGCTCTTAGTGGTCTTGCTTGGGGAGTGAGTGGTGTTTGGTCCCCCCCCCATAGCGGTCCTCACCTACCCTTGCTCACCATTTGCCACTTGGCGCTTGTTGATTCATTTGCATTTTAATTTGTTTTGAATTAAAATAAATTGAGCAAAATGCAATTCTCCAACATTGAAAGGAGATGGGAAATTAAGGCTCCCTTCCCTATAAATAACCATGTTTTGGGTTTGGGAAAAAGCACTTGAGTTGAACTTAATAAGGCATCTCCTTATAAGTGAGAAAACCATAAAGTTCTTAAAACTCTAGTATTTCCTTGGTCTAGCCCCGACTAACCTTCAGGGTAGAGACCGCTCGGGTGGGGTCGAGGGTGCGAGCCGTCGGAGGCTTACGCACTTGCGAAGTGAAATCTTTCAAGTAAGAGCTCGTAAGCGAGCGAAGCATGCGTCAAGGGTAAGATCCTTTTTTCTATTTCTCTCTCTTATAGTTTAATTATGTGATTGCATGTTTAGTTACATGAATTAGTGTGCGGGTCTTAGGAGGGTTTCATTCGACCTAGTGTCGGACACTACGAAACCCAACAGAGTAGGCTCTCGTGATCGACTGACCCCTATTGCTGAAAGGAATGGTGTCCTTCCAACAATTGTATTATTTTGATAGAGGGTTCAGAATTATCAAGAAGCTGATTCTTCAGTGAGATCAAGTGATCGAAATCCCTGGGTGGAGACCGCTTTCGATCTGTAATTAATTAAGGTGATTTAAAATGGATTTAAATTTCTGGTTGTGTTTTCTAATTGGATTAGAAGCTCGTTTTAATTAATTTTAAAAATCGTATTTTTCTCATTTTGGCTATCAAACCCAGATTTCGACTCAAAAATAGTGATTTTTGGGTGGAATCGATGTTCTAAATTGTTTCTAACCCTTTAAAGGTTCCAAAAGCCACAATCCACCCTTAAATATGTTTTTCGAGGGGTTTTTCGTTTTTGACAAAAAATTTTAAATCTTTATGCCTTGATTAATTTATGCATGTTAAGGGTAGATTAAATGTATGGTTGCATCCCTAATCTACTGCAATTATAAACCCTTTTAAGCATGGTTATGAAGTCATAATGTGTGCTTAAGTTGGTATGTTCAATTTTTCACATAAACTTGTTATTTCACAATCATGCAAATAAATTGCATTAAAGTGTGAATGTTTATTGTGAATGTGAAATTTTAAGTTCCTTGTATATTAAACATCCAATCTTTGAGTGTTTAAATGATTGGAACTTTGATTCTAAATTCCATGGTTGAACTAATTTTGGATTTAATCATTTGTGTTGATTAAAGTCCTTAAAGTTCAAGTACTTGGGATTAAATTTTGATTAATCTTCATATTGAAAGATGTAATTTTATTATTTTACACAAGTTAAAAGTTGGAAAAATTTTCATTGGATGATTGGTTTTATTTTCCAACTCCCTATTTTGTCAAAACTCATCATTAATTTACATTTGGGTTAAATTAATATTTGGTGTAGCCCTTCAATTTTAATGCATAAAGAAAGACCTAAATTATTTTAAAAGGATAATTTTGAATGATTTAGGCTTGTGCACCATTAAAATTGAATTTAATTAAGTTGGACTTATTTTAATTTCATTTTTCCCTAAATTGATTCTAAAATAAATTTAGAATTAATTTTATGTCACACGTAAATCGGGATTAAAATCCCGAGAAACGACACGCAAATCGAGGCAAAAACACCCAAGCGTCACCAAGGCTAGTCGGGCTGCCTAGCAGCTCACATGTAGCTGCCTTAGGTGCACACAAGGGGTGCTTAAGCTTCGAGGTGTTGTTGTGCAATGTGTGGCGAAGGGTGCTGTTGCGTGCTGCCGAAGTGCTGGATGCGTGGCCTTAGGCTGCTGGAGTGCTTGTGCGTGCTGCTGGGCAGCGAGGCAGCAAGCCCCAGCCAGCCAGCCCACTGCTGCCAGCGCCAGCGAGCAGCTAGCATGCGTAGCATGCTGCTGGTGCTCGCTAGCATGGCATGCTGCGCTAGGCGAGCTTGCTAGCAGCCAGGACCACACACAACGCAAGGGGCTACCTAGCAGCCATCACTAGTAGAAAAAATCAAATAGGCACCCCCCCTTTAGCATCGGTTCTTGAAAACCGGTGCCAAAAGAAATAGGTGGGATTAGTAAATAGGGAGTTGGCTTTGGTTCCAAGCAAAACCGGTGCCAACTCATTTAATTAGCACCGGTTCAAACCGATGCCAACCTAAGAAAAAAAAAAAAAAAAAACAAAAAAAACAAAGAAAGCAATAGAGTTGGCACCGGTTCGCCTTAAACCGCTGCCAACTATAGTATTTAGCATCGGTTTGAACCGGTGCCATTTGAAAAAAAGAATCCCGGTGTAAGGCGCGTCTTCTTCTTCATTTCCTTGCTCTTTCCTCTTCAATTCGTTTTCATCTGATCTGCCTCTCTCTCTCCGCCTTTCTCCATTGAAGGGGCTTCTCAGCTTTCCTAACACTCTGTCTCTCTCCTTCGATCTCCTTCTACATTAAAGGCTTCCATTCCTATTTCCTAAGTCTCTGAGTTATTTCATTGAAGCGCACTCAATGTTCTCCATTGAAGCGTTCTCCGTTGAATCTAATTCTTGTATCCCCAATTGAAACAGCTTCTAAGGTAAGTTGTTTGTTTTTGTTATCATCACATCAATTTCACAATCTAGGGTTTATATTTGAACTAATCTAATTTAATTATCAGTGCTTTAAGTTTAGGGTTCGTAAATTCTTAGATTATGAAACATCATATCCAAAAGAAAAGAAAATTATGAGCGTAATTTGATTATTGAATCAAATATCCCTAAAATTATGAGATAATTGAATATGAAACTAAATCTCTTGTCCCTGGGCCTAGGGCGGCCGCCCCTCCTGCCTTGCCTCAAGGACGGGCCTGGTCGAGGAAGGCTGGCTGATGTTGAGGTGTTTGAGTAGAGAAAGCAGTGCTGTTAGATGGAGTTTGAGTAAATATGTTAATCCTCCATTGCCATGGCTTTTTATGGGATTAGGCAATCCCGGTGATAAATTCAAAGGCACTCGTCATAATGTTAGCTTCGAAATGATTGATGCACTTGCTGATTCTCTTGGCATTTCACTCAATAATGTTCATTGTAAAGCTTTATTTGCCCAAGGTTTTGCTTCTCTTTCTCCTTTAGTTAACTGCTACCAGCTAAGGAACTGTTTCTGATTAATTTGACCTCCTCAAAAATTTATTTGAAATTTGTAATTCTGTTCCCAGGGTTCATTGGAAATGTCCCAATTTTCCTAGCAAAACCTCAGACTTACATGAACTTATGTGGAACATCTGTGAGTCAGCTTCCTGCAACTCTATTGTGTTATTGCTGAGAATGAATGTGGATGATACTCTGCTTATTACAAGAATATCAGATGCTTCATTCACGGATTCTGTTTTCGAAATAAGTGATCAGGCTTCGGTTTTAGGAGATTGGTGCTAATCATTGTTCACTTGATTGTAGACAGGTCCTCTAGCAGCATATTACAAGCTACCTCTAAATCGAGTGATGGTGGTAATTTATTCTCAATCATTGCTAACTTTATTACTATTTTTTCCCCTGGCTCAACATGATCCTTTTGGACAAACTGTACTATTAGAGGCTTCTTTTTTTTATACTAAATTAGCAGTATTTTTTTTTTCTTGATGACATATAGATGGCATTTAGAGGTAGAGGACGTGGGAGAGGATTTGGTGGAAGTGACTTCAAGTTTGTGAAGCCAGAATCTTTTGTACTTTTTCCGGTGAGTATATAATTTGACCCATTTTTATCATTTTCCATTGTTTTGATTCTTTTGATCTTGGATGCCAAAATATGCTCCTAACTACTGTAATGCAACTTTGCCAGCTTTTTTCTTTGTCGAAAGAACCTGATTATTTAGTTTATGTTAGTGGAACCCAATTCATTTCAGGACTATGGCTTTGTTGTTGTTGTAGGAGAAACCAAACTATTCTATGAATTTGATCACTTGAAACCTTCATAATTGCCCTGTTCCCATCTAGTTTCACTAGAGGTAAGACTCACATACGTGGCTGTTGCCTAGATCATTACTTGATGTCATAGGAGAAACCAAACTATTCTATGAATTTTTAGGTTCTTGTTGCTTGGAGGACAGAAAACCCTATATTCATGATGTATATGTTTGAATCAAATAGATAAGCACTGCAGTTATATCTTATTAATATAAGATCATGAGAAGCAGCTCTAGGACCTATTTATACTTAAAATGTCTCTTGACCTATCTAACGATGCCTTGTGGAGGGGATGCATGAGCTTTCATACTTTTCCATGTTTATGTTTCTTTCTTCATGCTCTTTTCTTCTTTCAAATTAATAACAATTTGGAGTTTGGGGTGTTGGTTTGCTTTTAAGCTAATAGCACTGGGACTACTAGCCCCTTAAAACCATGTCACTCAGAAAATATCGTGGAGTTACTAACAAAATTATCTTGTCAACTATATATTCTTCATTATTTTTGACACTTGACCCTCATCTCTCTCTCCCATTTGACCTTACCTTTCATATGCAACTATGATTTACTATGCAATTTTGCAATTAAAAGTTGCTGACAATTGATTATAAACATGTTGCTTGTTGTTACGGTTTGCTGATCTTAATGTTTTTACTGCTGTTCTCATACATTTTTAAGCTAATGATTGGAATTTATAGCTTTCAGCTTCATAATCGCTCTTTTTTTTCTTCTTTGGTTTAATGTGTTGTTTATTAATTTGATGATACACAATGTCTCTTGGGTTTTTTGAGGACATATACATTCCTGCCTTTGCTCTGCTAGACCCGTCACATATCGAGCCCCATGATGATGATCCGTAAGATCAATTACCTATATTTGTCTCTTTTTGCGCATCTAGTTTAAATTTAAAGATACTAAACTTAAGTAAATATTGTTCCTTTTGTTGTAATTTCTTTTTTCTGGGGAACTGTAGCAAGCAAGTGAAATGGGTGTGGACTTACAATGATCTTGAATTATCCTATGATGACGAAAATCTGGTCAGGACCCTCTTTGATTTTTTCTTTATTATTATTATTATTATTATTATTTAATCTTGTCACTAACATTATTATTTGTCATAGATTACTATGTTTCCGCATCTGCAGATATGACAAGCGTTAAATCCGTCGCTACAATCTAACTCTTAATTAAACAATACTTATACAAACACCCTATAACCAATATAATGGCAAATAAAGGTTCGGTCCACGAAGAACGAGAGCAACTGCTAATCAATCCTAAAACCTAAGCTAGTTCGAAATCAATGGAAGATGGTGTTCTAAAATACTACTAATAAGATGAAATAATCAATAAACTAAGACACTAGGGAGAACGGGAATCCGCCTAACCATTGGTAACTAAGCAATAAGGAATCACAGAGACAAACGGGGTATGCAAAGACTATATGTCTGATTAATATCATGTGGTAGGAAGACAACGGGCAATACTAAGCTTGGATTTATCATGCACTTAACATTACTCGATACATAATCAAACCACATTCAACAATGAAATACTCAATTCACAAGCTCTTGTTCAAATCAAGAATATCATGCAATCAAATTCAAGATTCTAGGTTAGCTACTCCTATTATAATGAATTATCATGCAATCGCACATAATCAATTTAATCACAATCCATTTATCAAAATCAACCCTCAATTACATAGATTACCCAGGCCGGGTTTCATCCCGAAACCCTAACTACGAGACTACTCACACATATTCATAATCAAAGCAATAATGAATTCCAAAAGCATAATAGATATAAATATGAATTCTGATTAAGGAATAATAAAGCTTGATTAATAAACAAGAATGAATAATACCAATTGTATTGATGCGAATCAATGACAAGGTTTGGAACTTTGATATCCGATGTCAATGAATAATACAAAGAATCCCAACGAATCTTGCTTCGAATCAATCCGGAAAACTACGATTAACTAGATCAAATCTATGGAATCTCAACTACGGAAGTGCTCTTTATCTCTCTACAAAGTCTCTCTGAAAAATACGTCTCTAATCTATCTCAAAATATGTCTCTCTTAAACCTTACAATCGGGCTATATATATGTGTTTTAAATCGGAAAGTAAATCGCAGGCTGCCCTTCGTAAATCCTCACGGCCGTGCTAGAAGTGGCACGACCGTGCAAGCATGGCAGCAGGTGATCCACAATATCTTCAATTTTGGCACGGCCGTGCCACTTCTAGCACGGTCGTGCTAATGCCTGGCACGGCCTTGCTAATGCGTGGCACGTCCGTGCTGAATCTGGCACGGCCGTACAAGCATAGGCAGGAAGGTTGTAGGCACTTTGGTCTTCTTAAAACAGTCACAACTTCTTATCCAGAGCTTCGTTTGAGGCGTGCAATATATCGTTTGAAAGCTTTTCAAGTCTACTTTACAATGAAAATGGAATCACTCCATTATCATTTGTATATCAAACGTTATGAGCAAAATAGTGAACAGGTGTCATATTTGTGAACTGTTCTGTCTTGCCTGCTACTTAACTTGCCTTTCAAGGCCTTGAGAACCGCAACAAAGCCTTAGCTTGGTGGACTAGGATCGATAATAGCCTGATTACGCACCAAAGGTTCGGGACTCGACATAACTTGGTCAACTATACCTGTTAACACAACAAAAAAAAAAACAGACCGAAACCCGTGAAGCACGTAATATGAAGGAAACGAGTGTAACAAGGCAATAAACGACCAAAACGAGCCTAAATACATCCAAAATCACCCATTTATATGCCTTAAAGCGCTCCCTAATGTGCGCTTGTCAAAACCCCCCAAGCTACACTTTTGCTAGTCCTCGAGCAAAACTAAGGGATAAACACACACACAAGATCAACTAAACTATTGCCATTACATATAAGTCAAGTTTAAGCACAGAATAAAGTCAAAGTATCCTACTTAAAACAACCATGCATGGAATAAAAACTCACTCAAACAAGCAACGAGACACACAATCCAAGGTATCGTTGATCAAAATGTGAACAAGACCTAAGCCAAGCATAGAGAACAAAGGAATCATGCTTCCCTCTAAGCCCAACCAAAACAGCCACGTCCTCCCCTTTTGCTTCAAATCACCACCCTAATTGGCCCCTCGTGATTCCTCGAAGGAACCGGAAAAAGTGATATTTTGAGGAAATAACAAAGGTATCCCGACATCTCGATTACGCATAATCTTTCCATAGGGTTGAAAGGTATCTCCCTCCACCGTTTGAAAACCAAACACCTCTAAAGTCTAAGGGTCTTAAAAGGTTGTAATGTATTGGCAATGGGTAAGGTAGGTGAAAACAATTTAAAAAGTGGAGTTAAATCCTAAATGAAGTGCAAGAATCACGATTCTAAAAAACAAAGCTCAAGAGATGCAATTCACATTCCACAATAAACATTGATCACACTCTTACACATCCCAAACTCTCTATGTTATACACACTCAAATCACCTTTTTCAAACTTCAAAGCTTTTATTCATATGTCCTCGCCTTTTTCACAATTTGGACGACTTTTCTCTTTTTTTTTTTTTATTTTGATATTCTTTTCTCTTTTTTTTCTTCTTTTTTTTCAAAAACAAACTTTCATATTACATCTTTACAATTAAGCTCACTTTCAAACTTGCTCAAACCAACTATCGATCATTATTCTTGATTTATACACAATAAGCTCAAACAAACCTTGCGAGGTAAACGCTTCACAACTAAGGGTTGGTAAAACATTGGTCATCGGGTTTGTAACATGGGTAACCAAGAATGGAATTAAAGGCTCAACACGGTTAGCAATTAAGATGATGTAAAATGAAAATTAATTTGTAACAAAACAAAAGAAACAAAAATAAGAAAATGAAAAAGGTGCCCTCTTCCTCCCTTAAAAGTGTCAAGTCGGTCTCGGGAGATACAAGTCAACACAAAGATCGAAACATGCATAATCAAGGATCCAAATATGCCACTCAAGAAGAATGATGAAGTCCAGAACAATAAAACCTCACGGGATTTGAAAACAAAGCAACTACCAATCAAGGGGATAAAATCCACAAAGGGAAGCGACTCCATCTTACCACAATTCAATGGCTTAGAGTTTCACATGATAACAAACGTTCTAACCAACTACCTTCGCCTAGACTTGTCTACATTGATCAACAATAGACTCAAACTGTGTATTCATTACTAGCTTATATAGAAATAGACATTCCACACACATTCATTCACGTGTCAAATCCAAATATGGACATTATTCCAAAAGTTTTTGCAAATAGGCAAGTTTATCACGATCCAAAAATATAGGAAAAGACTATGAGGCAAATCATATAAACTAGACTACACATCCTCATAACAGAAGCTTTTCCTATATTGCACACATATATACACAACTAAGTAATCTAAACAAGCTAAATGGCTCATAAAGAGGCATGAAAATCACATAATAATCCCAATCGACAAACAAGTGATCAATTGATATCAACATCAATGATCCCAAGTTCTTTAGAACCGATCAAACATCCTCGAACCATTCAACTTCTTCCTAAACTAAACTATCCTAAGCACACAAAAACAAAAAAAAAATTAAAGGAAAAAGGGAAAGATTTCACCGGATGCTTCTTGAAAACACACTAAGACAACATGAGATGCGGCGAAGCTCCTAATGCTACCTCAATGAGTCTTCATATCTGCACAGGTTAGATAAAAACAAACCAAAACAAAACAAAAAAAAACTCGTTTTTCTTTTATTTTTTTATTTTTTATTATAGGAATATGAAGAAAAACAGGGGAAAATCAACAAGGAAACCATTCACCCCCCCAAGCTAGTATAGACATTGTCCTCAATGTCAAGCATCGAGAGACTACCTAGAAGGCAAAAAGGGAAAGAGAAAAGTACCTCATTGGCTGGGTCTTGGGTTGCCTCCCGGAAGCGCTTCTTTAACGTCATTAGCTTGACGCAACACATGGATTACAGGTTACCCATAATCAATACTTTCCATTGCAGTGGAGATAAGCTTACCATTCTTATTCTTGACAATAGTCACCGCCCCTTTCTTGGGTACTACAAACACAGGGGAAACCCTTCCTTGATGTGTTGGAAGAGGTTTAAGCTTTACCTTTGGTGCTTCAATAGCCTCCTTTGCAGTGGCCACATCTAATGCATCTAGAAATTGCTCCTTCATGTCCCTGTTTTCCTTATTCTCATTCAACTCAAAATCATGATTAGTATAGAATAATTCTTTACGCATATCAGAGACAATGGAATCAACAGTGTCAACCATCATGCAATTATCAGAATTAGAACAAGGATATTTCATAGTTTTATTTAAATCAAAATCTAAAACCTCCTTTCCTACTTTCAATGAAATCTTGGCACCCTTTACATCAATAAGGGCACCCAAAGTTGCAAGGAAAGGAGGTCCTAGAATTATAGGTATATGAACATCCTCATCCATATCTAGGACCACAAAGTCAACAGGTGTGACAAACTTCCCCACCCTTAGGGGAACATCTTCCACCTTACCCTTTGGAAATTTGATCGATCGATCGGCTAATTGAAGGGATATGTTAGTGGGAAGAAGTTCTCCTATATTTAATCGTTGATAAACAGAATACGACATGAGACTAACACTAGCTCCAAGATCACACAAAGCATTATCAATATTCATTTTGTTTATAGCACAAGGGATTGAAAAGCTACCCGGATCTCCTAACTTAGGAGGCATTTTGTTCATTATTATAGCACTACAGTGTTCAGTGAGGTTAACAGTTTCTACCCCTTCACAATTCCTCCTGCCACTCAAAATATCTTTCAAAAACCTAGCATAGTTAGGCATTTGTTTTATAGCGTCGATGAATGGTATGGAAAGGTGAATTTGCTTCAAAGTCTCTAAAAACTTACCGAATTGAACATCCAACTTATGTCTCACAAACTTATGGGGCTAAGGAAGTTTTTGCAGTAGATTGGGTTCTTTGAATTGTGTTACTTCCTTTTCATATAGTACCTCTACAGTTTTATCATTCTCTCCGGTCCTC